CTTATATTACTATCTAATGGACTTACTATTATTTTTTAATGAATTAATAGCTATTTAAAATTTTTGTTTTAATTTCTATTACAGTAAATATCAATGGCTATAACCCACATTAATAAAAGCTCTTTGGAGTCTTCAGTAATTTTTAAAATTGTAACGCATCCTGAGATCAAAAATTTGAGAACCACTGATCTAGTCCAACACCTCCCCCCACCAAGACATGAATTCCCCTTAGCAATGGGAGAAGTGATCTCCTAAACTCTTCTTGAATGAAAAGACGGATGGGGGTTGAGGGAACAGGCAGCCAGCCCATGTTTCAGCCAGCTCTGCCTGTCAGAAAGGTCTTCTTCCCACTCACCCCCTTCTGCCTGCTGTAACGTCCACCCCTTGATCCTGCCATCACAGGGGCCAAGGCAGCCCCCTCCTTCACAAGGACACTCTCAGATATCTGAAGGGAATGAGAAGCCCCCACTGCGTGCATGCCTGGCTGAGTGGGGACGGAAGAGGAGCAAGTATGAGCTAAAGCTAAAATCCTGGAGAAATGGAGACACAAACAGCAAATGGCTCAAGGTGCCAGTGAAGCTTGGTGGGGTGCTGGAGGAAGGGAGGCCCATATTTGGTGCGATAGCTTGGAAGGGGGATACCCTGGCCCAGAGCAAGGCCCCAGCAGGGTGGACTGGGGGCTGGGCGGTTTAGCGAAGAAGGCTGCTCGGGTCAGTCAGGTGAGGGGGACAAGCCTGGCTTAGGCAGCAGATTTAACAAGGCAGGTGGGCCCGGTTTAAATCCGGGGGAGTTGAGCCTGGGTCAAGGGGGCTGATATGGCGCGCGGCGGCCCTGTTTGGTGAGGGGAAAGCCTGAATAGGGTTCCTCAGGGGACGGGGCCGCTCGCACCGATACACCAGGCTCCGGCAGCAGCTCCAGTGCGCAGGCCAGGCAGAGGCGCGGGGGCACCGGCAGCAGCCAGCGCGGGTCGTGCCGGTAATGAGCCCTCTCGAAGAGCAGCGCCGCCTCCTCGTCTCTCCCGGGCCCTGGAGGACCCGCCGCCATCTCCCTCACAGCCATCCTGGGCTCGCACTCCGCCTCCGCGGCACCTTTTCCCGCGCAGTTTGTGCGCAAGCGCACTTGGAAGAGAAGCCTGTGAGTGCGTGTGTAAAGCACCTGCGCGGATCGAGTACGACGCAGTCTTGAGGCAAGCAGCGGCCCCTGAGGGCGGGCGTTGAGCGCAAGGACTCTGGATGGTGTTCAGCTATGCCCAAAGGTATTTGCTCTTAGAATTCGCAGGGATTCGTTTTCACCACACCAAAAGTTGAAAACCATTTATAATGAAGTTGTCACTATTAGCCTTGAAAAAGAAAGAAAAGGAAACAACCTACTTCTACTATAAAACTTTTTTTCAATAAATGATCTCAGGGATTATTATCAGTGTTTTAAATTTACGTGACACCTTTCTCGCAAAGAATCTAAGACACTCCCCTTAAAAAATGATCTCACGGAGGGCTGCACAGTACCTGAGACTTCGTGAGTGCACAAGGAATACTGAAGAGAAATTGCTTTACCAGCAAAACCAATCCATCAATCAACACGGACTTACTTAGCACCACGCGCCCAACACTGGATTAATGTTGACGGAGTTAAGTTCAAGAGGTGTTTTCTACATTCAGAGACAGTATGACTTAGTGGGGAAAAAGTGCTTTCCATAGCAGAATAGTTTGGAAAGCAATGGTTTATTATGCAATGGAATATTATGAAGTGATGTTTCTGAGAAAAGTAGATGTTAACATGGAAAAATGTGCATGGCGTTACCATGAGTCAGGGGCGACTCCATGCAGCTAACAACAACACATATGTATCAGCTATCCATTGCTGCATTAAAAAACAATCACTCCGTGTAGTGAGCTGATTGTTGGCCCTCAAAAAGATAGGTCCACATCCTAATTCCCAGAATCTGTGAATGTTATCTTATTTGTAAAAAGTATCTTTGCAGATGAATTAAGGATCTTGAGATGAGACTATCCTAGAGTATATAGGTGGACACTAAATCCAATGTCAAGTGTCCTTATAGGGAACACAGGAAAGACATACAGAGAAGAGAAGGAGACAATGTGACCACATAGGCAGAGACTGGAGTGATGGATCCACAAGCTAAGAAATGCCTGAAGCCACCAGAAGCCGGAAGAGGCAAGGAACTGATGGTCCCCCCAGAGCCTTTGCGGGGAGCACAGCCCTGTCGACACCTTGATTTTGGACTTCTGACCTCCACAACCATGTGTAAATGAGTTTCTGTTGTTTTAAGCTACCAAGTTTTTGGTAATTTCTCACAGTAGCTATAGGAAACTAATACACTCCCAAAAGGTAGCAGCTTAAAACAACAAACATTATCTCCTAGTTTCTGTGGGTCAGGAATCCAGGCATGGCTTAGCTGGGAGCCCCTGGATCAAGGTTTGTCATGAGGTTGCAGTTAAGCTGTCAGCTGAGGCTTCAGTCATCCAATGCTCAGTGGGGCTAAAGGACCTGCTTCCAAAGGGACTTACATGATTGATGGCAGAATTCAGTTCCTTGCAGATTGTTGGACTGAGGGCCTCAGTTCTTTGGCTGTTGTTCAGTGGCCTCCCTCAGTTCTTTGCCACACGTGCCTTTCGACAGGGCAACTCACAACATGAAGTCTGGCTTCCCTCTCTCTGTGAGTAAGCAAGAGAGCAAGAGAGGGTGCCCAAGATGGAAGCCACAATCATTTTGTAACCTATTCTGTTTGTTAGAAGTGAGTCACTAGGTCCAATCCATACTTGAGAGGAGGGTATTACACACCGATGTGAACACCAGGAGGTAGGTGTCACTGGGAGCCATTTTAGAGGCTGCCTACCACAGTGTAAGTGCTATAATAAACCTGTTGCCATCGAGTCGATCCCGACTCATAGTGACCCTATAGGACAGAGTAGAAGTGTCCCCATAGGGTTTCCAAGGCTGTAATCTTTACGGAAGCAGACTGCCACATCTTTCTCCTGAGGAACGGCTGGTGGGTTTGAACCGCCAACCTTTTGGTTAGCAGCCGAGCCCTTTATCACTGTGCCACCAGGGCTCCTGTAAGTGCTATTATAGAGGTAGGCATAAATTTATAGGCAGTAATGGCGCAGTGGTTAAGCACTTGGCTGCTAACCTCTATGATAGCACTTCAGTTCTACTGTCCCGTAGGGTCGCTGTAAGTCAGAATGGACTCAACAGCAATGTGTTTTTAATGCATGGAAATAAAAACAGGAAGAAAACACATCCAAATGTTGACTGGGTGGTGGGATTATGGATTATTTTTCTGAATTTTCTAAACTCTCTTTAATGATCATGTATGACTTTTATAATTAATTATAAAAAAAAAAAGCTAAGTGAGAAAGGAAAAAGGGAAGGAAGGAGAAGGGAAAGAGAGAGCTTGAATTAAATTCCCAGGTTCAGCATTGATTTATGCTCTGTACGCCTCAGTTTCCACCTGCTGAAGTTGTCAACAGAAGTTTCACAAGACACAATGCCAGTTGCCTCAGAAGTTTCAGACTTGGTTAGAGCAAGTGATTGGCCTCAGGATTCCCACAGGTGGGCCAGGCACAGCAACAGGTAATTATGACTACAGTACTTAGAATAGAAGAGGTGGGGATGTTTTGTCCATGAAGTCTGTTCGTGAGCAGCAGAACCCCAGGGTCAGAGGCAGAACTGGGCCAGATGCCCAGGGATTGCCTCCCTTTCTTGTACCAAGAGACCCTGAATAATAGCTGAGCACCAGCCCTCCCTGAAGCAGCTGAGGTTGAGTGTCGTGCAACAATCAGGGTGAACTCAGGACAGGACCATGATAGAAACCCTAGTGGGCCGTACTGTGTGGAGCTGGGGAAAGGAGATGCTTAGGAGATGGCATTGGACTGACTCACATCCCCGAAACCTTCAGAACCATGGGGTAGAACTGGCTTTTACCTACACAGTATCCCAAACTGCAAAAGGGTGCACTCAGAGAACATGTGCCAAAGAACTCAGAAACCCCAGGGCCCAAATAACCAATTTTATTAAAGGCTTTGGGGGTCAGCTGGCAACTCTCGTGCCTTCTCTGCCATGTCCTGAGGATTTTGGGCCTGCAGGCTACTTTCTAAAGCCGAGCTGGAGCAGAAAAGACCTCAAATGCTTCATAAAAGTAAACTTTTGGGGGGCTGGTGGACTCTCTGGGGCCCTATTTGGGTTCCCAGGTGCCCCTTCACCCTGGGGGCTCTCTGTCCTGGGCAGAGGGGCCCCAGCACTGCAGTGACCTAGTGACTGAAGGTCCCTCTCCAAAGAAGAAGTGCTGACTTCAGTGCTGCCTTCCTTTGTGTGTGGGTACCCTGCTTTGGGAAGCAGGGTAGGATCAGGATCCTGCAGGCTCTGGTAGGGGACAGAATGCTGCGACTTGGCCGGCTGTGAGGACCAAGACATCTTGTTCAGAAGGGTCATGCTCAGCCTCACTACAGCAGATTGGGGACCACCTTTGAAGCTTGAGGGATCTGCAGAACAGGAGGAAGGCCGCTGCCCAGCCCCTCCACCCTTTGCAGCCTCCAGGCTTCCTCTTCTCCAGCATGTGGGTTGCTGAAGTTTGGGTCTGGGGGGCTTAGGGACCTCCCACAAGGGTCGCTCCTGCCCCCAGTGGTCGTGACCTTCCCTGGAGCATGAGGTCCTCCCTCTTCTGGGAGCCCTCTCTGCCATCTGGGAGACCCCTGGCCTGACCATTTTCCTGCCCCTACTGGTCTCGCTGGAAGGCTCTCCGGCACTTCCCTGGCCACACCAGTTCCCAGACTCTGCTTCAGGCCTGCGGTTCCTGGGAGCAGGTGATGGGACCCTAGAAGGAGCCGCTTCCTGGATAGCCTGTGGGTCTCTGGCGCTGCCTGGTGGCCTGGCTCTTCTGGGCTTTTCAGGGCGGATGGGCCTGCCCTGGGGCTCTGACCAGAGTGGTCCACAGTTCTCCAGGGTTCTAGCCTGTGTAGGAAGTTCTGGGCTCTTTTTTCCTAGGGGCCGAACCCTCCGGGGCTTCTCTGGGGGCTTAGGGCCTGGCCTGGAGCCTGGGGCTTCACAAAGACTTTTCTGCTGCCCTTGGAACTCATGACCTGTGTATAATCCAGGAGACATCACCTCAGCAACGGGCAATGGACAAGGTCCTAAGAAGTTAAGGAGCAAATAGGACTGCAGGATGCGCTGGGGGAGGCCCCACTTCAGGTGTGCGATCTTCCGCCGCATGAGAGACTCCAGGAGCTGTCGTTTGCTCTTCTTGAGGACTAGCCCCTTGGGCAGGATGGTGAGGGCAGTGGGAGTGCCCCCAAAAGCTGTGGCAGCTTGGGAGGCTGGGCCACATTGAAGAGAGGGACAGGCAGAGGGCAGGCCCAGGGCGGCCATAAACTGAGGGTTCCAGGGCTGACGAGTCAGGCTGGAGGCTGTCCCTGAAGCCATGTCTTTGTCCTTTCGTCGGCCTCTCTGGGATTCAGGTTGGGCCCCCCGGACAGGGGCTGTGCTCCGGCTGGTCAGGTGCTCTTCCTGCCCACTGGCCAGCAGGAGGACCTCATCCTGGTGGGGCAGGTGCTTCATCTCAGGACCAGGAGCAGAGGCTAAACTGTTCACAGCCATGGCCTGTCCCTGTTCCATGGCCCCACATCCAGAGCCAGTGAGGGCTGGGGGCCGTGCCTGGCTGTGCTTCCTGCCCATAGGCCCCTCACTCCCAGCACGGTCAGCTTGGAGATTTGCCTTAGTAGCATCTTTTCCTCTGACCTTGTTCATCTTTCTGTCCCTTGTTACTTGAGGCCTTCCAGCATCCTCAGCTCCACACATTCTGTGGCTCCCTACATCCCGGATTTCAGCAGCATCTTCATTGCCAGCCTTGTTCTGGTTCCCCCGCTCTTGTGTCTGGATCTCTCTATTAATTTCACCCCTTAACTCTCCCTGATAATCTCCTCCAGGTGACTGGATCTCTGAACCATCATCACCTTCAGTCCCTCTCAGGTTTCTCTTCTCTTGTATTTGAGTTTCTGCATCATTCTCACCTCTAATCTGCTCCTGGTTCTTCCACTCTGATGAGTAGGTCTTTCCATTAACTTTACTTGTTGTTGGTCTCTGGTTATCTCCCCCAAGTCTCTGGATCTTTGTACCATCCTCACTTTCAACCTCTCTCTGGTTTCTCTTCTCTGATGTCTGATTTTCTGCACCGTTCTCTCCCCCAGGCTGCTCCCAGTTCCTCCTCCTTGGTGAAGAGCTCTCTCCATCAATTTCTTTATCTAACTGTTCCTGGTTCTCTCTCTCAGGTCTCTGGATTGCTACACCGTCCTCGCCTCCAGCTTCTCTTTGATTTCTCTTCTCTGGAGCTTGAATTTCTGTTCCATTCTCACCTATCATCTGTTCCTGATTCTTCCACTCTGATAAATGGGCATTTCTATCACCATCACTTCTTAACTGACTCTGGTTTTCTTCCCCAGGTGCCCAGGTCTCTGTACCATCCTCACCTCCAGCTTCTCTCTGGTTTCTCTTCTTTAGAGCTTGAATTTCTGCACTGTTCTCACTTTTAATCTGCTCCTCTTTCTTCCACCCGGCTGAATGGGCTTCTGCATCAGTTTTAGTTCTTAATTTTCCCCAGTTCTCTGCCTCAAATGCCTGGGTATTTGCACCATCCTTGCTTCTAATACGTTCCTGGTTCTTCCACTTTGCGGGGTGAATCTTTCCATTAATTTCATTTCTTAAATGACCCTGGTTTTCTTCACCAAATCCCTGTGTCTCTTTGCCATCCTCACCTTTAACCCCTCTCAGGTGTCTTTTCCCTGGTGCCTGCATGTCTGCACCATTCTCATCTCCAAACTGCTCCTGGTTCCTCCTCTGTGGTGGATGGGTCTTTACATCAGCTTCACCTCTTAATTGTCTCTGGTTATCTGCCTCAGGTGCCCAGATTTCTGTATCATCCTTGCCTCCACCTTCTCTCTGCTTTCTCTTCTCTGGTGCCCAAATATCTGCTCTATGTTCACCTCCAATCTGGCCCTGATTCCCCCAACATAGTATCTCAAATCCTCTGTCAATTTCACTTGCTACCACTCTCTGGCTTCCCCACCATGGTGCCTGGATCACCACCCAGTCCTCCTCTCTGATCTCCTTGAGTTTTTTCCTCTGAGACATCTGGGTTTCCCCAGCATCCTTGCCTTTTCTCAGATTTTGGTTTCCCCTCCCCAGTGGAATTTCAAGTCTTAATTTTATCTCGTTCTCTCCACTAGCTTTCATACTTCCATCCTGATCCTTGTTCTCCCACCCTGGTGTCTGGATCTTTGGAACATTCTCACTTCCAGACCATTCCTGTTTTCCCCACTCTAGTGCCTGAGTCTTTACACCATCTTTCTTTTTGACCTCTCCCACATTCTCCCTCCTAAGTGTCTGGAAATGCATAGCATCCTCACCTCCAACCCAGTCCTTGTTTCTTCTCTCTTCTGCCTGAATTTCTGCACCATTATCACCTCCATGCTGGTCTTGTTTCCCCCACCCTGGCATTTGGGTCTCCTCACCATTCTCACCTCCAGTCTGGCCCTGCTTCCCCAATCCTTGGGCCTGGGTCTCTCCCTCATCCTTCCCTGCCTCTTTCTTGTTCTTCCTTTCAAATGCGTGGATCTCTACAGCATCCTCACCTCTACTCCCATCCTGGTTCCCCCACTCTGGTGTTTGAGCCTCAGCATCAATTTTACATCTTAACTGTTCCTGGTTCTCCGCCCTATGTGCCTGGGTTTCAGGAGGATTCTCACCTGCAGCCTCCCTCTGATTTCTCTCCCCTAGTTCCTCTATTTGGGCTCTATTCTCACTTCCCATATGGTCCTGGTTCTCACTCCCTGATGTCGGGATTTCTCCATCAGTTTCACTTATTACTAATCTCCAGTTTCCCCACCCCAGGATCTCAGCCTCTACCTCATCCTCCACTCCAAAGTCTATTGGGAGTTGCCTTCCAGATGCCTGGGGTTCCCCAGCATCCTCTTCTCTGCTCTCTCTCTGGTTTCCCCACCTTGGAGCTTGGTGCTCTCCACTATCCTTTCCTCTACCTGGTATCTGGTTTTCCCTCTCTGGTGCCCAGGCCTCTTGTGGGCAGCCCTGGGACTGCCATCTGGGCATTCCCAGTTGCTGGTTGGAAGGAACAGGCAGGAACTCTCTGGACCAGAACTGCAGCTTCTGAGCTGAAGGGAGGTTTGGGAGAGATGTGGCTGAAGACATGGAGGTGGGGTGGGACCTCATGCTGACGACAGGTTCCAGAGGCATGAACTCTTCCGGGGAGTGGACCAGTAACTGCTCCATCCTTTGACACATCTCCAGGGCAAAGGGCAGTGGCTTGCAAATCAGATGAGCGTGGCCATCACCGAGACACCAGGGTACCTGCCACACTTCCCAGGAACTGTCCTGAGGGAGCAGGCAGGTGCTTGAAGCAGAAGTGGTGCAAAAGATGGGTTCCAAGGGGGCATGGGCACCCCATGGTGGGCCCTGACACCGGCGCTGCCAGGAGAGCAGGCATTGGGCCCATGATTTCTGGAGGCTCCTCCGGTATCCCCATCTTTGCTCTCGTGTCCATGGTTGCACATGAACATCCAGGCCCCTGAGCTTGCCGGGACTGATGAAGAATTCAGGGGCTGGCCCCAAAACAGTGGCATATCTCACGGAGGGCACTGCCCTCTCCTGCGGTGGCACCTGTAGGTAAGAATGGAGAAGCAAAGCCCTTGAACACACATTAGCTCATCTAATCCTCACAGATCAGAGTTACAACCCCCATTATCCAGATGAGGATGCTGCGACTCAACAAGGGGGAGTCACTTCCCTTAGGGTAAACAGTATTCATTTACTCAAGATGTACTTACTGAGCATTTACTCCAGGTCAGACTCTGTTGTAGGTGCTGGGGATACTGACATCAACACGACAAAATCCCCACTAAGAGCTCTGTTCTAGGCTTGGAAGACAGATAGTAACCAAATACGTAACATAGTGCTCGGTCCTGAAAAGTGTTCTGATAAAAAGCAAAGCAGAGTCGGGGATGGGGCCAGCTCCTTTACACAGTGCTCAGGTCAACGGAGGCCTCTCGGAGGAGGTGACATTTGACTAGAGACCTGAATGCAAAACCAAACCAAACCCGTCAAGTCAATTCCGATTCATGGCGACCCCGTGTGGTACAGAACAGAACTGCTCCATAAGGTTTTCTTGGCTGTAATCTTTACAGAAGCAGGTCGCCAGGCCTTTCTTCTCTGGCACCACTGAGTGGGTTTGAACCTCCAACCTTTAGGGTAGTAGGTCGAGTGCAAACTGTTTGTGTCACCCAGGGCCCTCAACCTGAATGCAGTGAGGGGCAAATGAAGTCGCATCTGAAGAAAGAGCGTTATAGGCAGAGGAAACATTCAGTATGAAGGCCCTGAGGACAGAACCAGGTCATATGTACGGAAACAGCAAGAAGGCCCGTGTGGCCAGAGTGAAGAGAGCAATGAGGAGAGCCCCAGGGATGAGATCAGCAGGAAACGCAAGACCAGGTCATGCCAGGCCTTAGAGTCATGGTTGGCAGCTTGGATTTTATTCCAAGTGTGGCCACCAAAGGGCTTTGAGCAGGGAAGTGCACTGATCTGGTTTTGTTTTTTGTTTTATTGTGGTGAAAATATACATAACAAAATATAGGTTGTCTCAACAATCTCTACATGTACAACTTGGTGACATTGATTACATTCTTCATGTTGTACGACGTTTCTCACCATCCTTTTCCAAATCATTCTACCACCATTAACATAAACTCAGTGCCCCCTAAGTAAAAACGCCCCTTCTCCCTCCCTCCTACCCTTGGTAACCAATAATAAGCCTTGGTTTCTATGTATTTGCTTATTTCATACAAGTGGGATCATGTATTTGTCCTTTTGCAACTGACTTGTTTGGCTCAGCACGATGTTTTCAAGGTTCAGCCATGCTGTGACGTGCTTCAGGATGGTCTGTTTCTAAAAGTTCGTTCTGCCTCACAAGCATGATGTTGGGCTTAAGGCAGGTGCAGAAGAGCCATGTGATTCCATAAGCAGGTTATATCACCTCATCATATATAGTGAGATCATAGGATTCCATACAGGCCAAACGAATCTCTGCTATTAGAAATCAGCATAGGTGTGGCTGCAAGACATGCAACGGGGGCCCTGGGCTGCAGGTCATACTCACTTTCTTTATCTCGGTGCTGCACACACAGGTGTTCAGTTTGTGAAAATGCATGGATCTGTACACTGATGCTTTGTGTATGTACATTATCCTTCAATTAAAAGAAAAAGGTAACTCGCTGCTGCATGGAGAACTGGCAATGTCTGGCGAGCGAGGCAGCGGGGACCAGGCTGTTGCTACATTCCAGGTGAGATGGGACGGTGGCTCTGCCCAGGTGGGATAGTGACTTTGTGAGAAGAGATGAGATTTGAGATATGGTTTGCAAGTCAAGCTGATAGGACTTGCTGATGGATTGAATGTGTGGAATAAAGGAAAAGGGGGAGTCCAGGGTGACTCCCGGGTTCGGGCCTGGGAGATGCTCTCCCTGACAAGTCTGAGTTTGTCCAATGTGATTCATCCCTGGTGCTCGCTCAGGGCATTGAACAAGGGTTTGTTTGTTTGTTTTGCATAGAGAAAAGTTTATTAGTGTTTACCGGGGCTAAGATGACGAGGGGAGCTCTGGTTGCACAGTGGTTAAGTGCTAGGGTGCTAACTGTAAGATTAGCGGTTCAAACCCAACAGCTGCTCTGCACGAGAAAGATGTGGCAATCTGCCTCCATAAAGATGACAGCCTTGGAAATCCTATGGGGAAGTTCTGCTTTGTCCTGTAAGGTCTCTATGAGATGGAATCGGCTCGACAGCAACAGGTTTAGGGGGAGGAGGGGATGGGAGTTATCATTGAAGGCGTAACTGAGTTGCTATTTGGGGTGATAGAAAACTTTTGTAAATTAATACTGGTGATGGTTGAACAACATGGTGGAAGTAATGTCACCGAACTGCACACCTAAAAATTGTCAAAATGACAAACTTTTTTTAATGTATATTTATATATTTATATTTTTATTTATATATATTAAATATATATCTTTTTTTACTGCAATAATAATTTTTTTAAAGGTAGTATGAGAGTACATACTCCTCTCAGGATGGTCAGTCAGGCTTAGACAACTTAAATACAGCTCATATTATGATAGATGTCACCAAGGTTGTAGTTCTTGGAGAACAAATCAAGTTAAGCAATTCCCTGGGGAGGAAACAGTTTTCAGGGCATGAAGTTTTGGTAGTAGTCAGCCAAAAGACACATCTGCAGGATACAGGTTTTTTTCACAGCCTTGAATTCTGCAGATTCCTGTGTTCAGTATGCCTCAAAGGCACTTTCATTTTTCTGTACTTGATTTTTTTCAGCTATGGATTGTTTCCATCCCTTTCACTAAGCATATTGCTTTACACATAGAGTTCCATCTAGTGGTAAAAGTAATCATTGCAGACTATGTTGTTAGGTGCTATTGAGCTGGTTCCCACTCATAGCGACCGTATGTACAACAAAAGGAAGCACTGCCCAGTCCTTCACCATCCTCACAATTGTTGCTATGTTTGAGCCCATTGTTGCAGCCACTAAGTCAACCCATTTCATTGAGGGTCTTCCTCTTTTTCAATGACCCTCCTCTTTACCAAGCATGATATCCTTCTCCAGGGACTGATCCCTCTTGATAACATGTCCAAATTATAAGCGGGTTGTAAAAAATTATCCATTTTGAGGGGTAGTACAGGGTCTTGGAGCCCTGGTGGCACAGTGGTTAGAATCTTGGCTGCTAACCAAAAGGTTGGCGGTTTGAATCTATCAGCTGCTCCTTGGAAACCCTATGGGGCAGTTCTACTCTGTCTTATTGGCTCACTATGAGTCGGAATCAACTAGATGGCAACAGGTTTGGTTTTTCGTTTACAGGGTCTTGAAGGAGCCCCGCTGTGCACTGGGTAAGTGCTCAGCAGCTAACCGAAAGGCACAGGGCACAGAACCAGCTGCTCTGTGGAAGAAAGATATGGCAGTCTGCTTCCATAAAGATTACAGCCTTGGAAACCCTATAGGGCAGTTCTACTCTGTTCTATAGGGTTGCTATGAGTCAGAACCAACTCAATGGCAACAGGTTTGGTTTTGACAGAGTCTTGATAATGAGTGGCTGGACAAGCATGGTGCTGAGGGAAGGAGAGTGGAGTGTTGGGGCTCCCTCACCTTGATGACCTTCCTTGGGCTGGGGCGGGTCTTGTTGACCTGGTGCCAATAGTGCCGAATCTGCCAGATCAGAAAGAGGCAGAGCACGAGCAGATTGCCGCAGCACCGAGGGTCCCTGCAGCTGCCGTATTGGGACAGTAGGCCCCGCACTGGCTCCCACTCCGGCCCCTGGAATGGTCCCACCAGGGCACAGGCTCCCAGCAGTGGCAGCAACATGGCAAAGCGTAGGCCAGGTGGGTGGTGTTGGGGAGTTGAAGGGCAGGACCGTCTGGCTGACCCAGACAGTTTGGGGTGGAGTAGCCTCCGCCTCATAGCACCCTTGTCGCTGAGGCCGCCTCACAAAGGAGCCTGGTGCCCCCACCTCAGCTCCAGTCACTGGGCCTGGGTGCAGGTGAGAACAGTGTTGGGAAACTGCCTAAAAGGGCTTAGGGGAAGAAGAACTTGTTTTAAACATCCCTGTCCTCTGAAGTGAAGAGATTAAGTTCCCACCATAGGTTCCCACCATATATGATGGGTTGACGTACCCTGTGGTCTGCTTCATTTCTTTCTTCCTATGAGTACTTTTCATCCATTTGTGCATCTGCTTCTCCATTATCAAACATTTAACCAACACTGTATTGAACAGAGAGCCCTGGTGGCTCAATGGCTAAGCACTTGGCCGTTAACTGAGAGGTTAGCACCGTGGAAGAAATACCTGGTGATCTACTTCCATAAAGGTTATAGCCAAGAAAACCCTATGGGGCAGTTCTACTCTGTCATGTGGAGTCACTATGAGTTGAAAATTGGCTCCACAGCACCCAACAACAACAACATTCTTGTTTGACCACCCAGCATCCCCTCCTACAGTATCCTAATTTCCTGTTGAGGAATTACTTTTCCTATCTCAGGAAAAATGTTGGTGAGAGAGTAGGTGTTACCCTGATGACTGTCTTCCACCGAAAGGCTGTATTTAAAATGTTGGCGAACTGAGCAGGCTGAGGCATCAACCAATGAAAATGAACCTGGCCTTAACCCTTCAGTGGCTGGATGGTAAGTTGTCCCTGGAGCCCCAGGGGAGGGGCATCAGCAATTTACCAAGCAATTGGAAGCATTTCTCTGTTTTAATAATACAACATACCACAAAATGTATCCTGGCTGAATGTCACTCCAGCTTGCAGCTGATACTTTCTCATAGACCCGAGACAGCCTGTGATGGTTAAGGTTGTGGGTCAACTTGGCTGGGCCACGATTCTCAGTGGTTTGGCAGTTATGATGTAGTTTGGCAGTTATGTAATGATATAGTTACCTCCATGATGAGATCTGATGTAATGTAATCACCTGCATGATGAGCTCTGCTATGAGTAGCCAATCAGTTGAAAGAGAGTTTCCTTGGGAATGTGGCCTGCATCCAATATATATGGACTTTCTGGCAAAGCTCACTGTCTTTTGCTTGCTCTGGATCCTGCATCTGGCTCATCATCATCTGACCTCTGGTTCTTGGGACTTGAGCCAGCAGCCTGACGTTACCTACAGGCTGGGTTCATCAGCCCCTGCAGCTACATGAGGCAGGAGAAGCCTCCAGCCTGATGCCTGACCCACAGACTTGGAACTTTCCAGCCTCTGCAACCACATGAGCCATTTCCTTGATATAAAGCTCTCTCTCTATATATATATGTATATATATGCTTCACTGGTTTTGCTTCTCTAGAGAACCCAGACTAAGACAGAGCCAAAGGTTGAAAGTGTGGCCTAAGTTTCGTTAACTGGGCTTTTTCTGCCAGGGCTCCACATCTCAAGAACAGAGACTCAAGGTGTGAATTGGCAAGAAAGAGAACACCAGCCCATGGCAGCTAAGAACTGGCCCAGCTCTATCAGTTAGGTCTTGGCGTTGCTAGGAGCTGTGTGCTCTTGTTGAACATAACTTCACAGAACATCAACATCAGACAAGGTCACTCTGTAACTGGGATAGATCAAAACAAAAACAAGACTGCTGCTTAATCATGCCTGAACACAGACAAAAACATAAACATTGTCTAAACCACAAAAATGACCAAACATCCTCTTATCCTGCCTAATTTGAATGACTGCTATTTCTTAACCAATTATAGCTTTAGGTAGCCTCACTTCATTCTTCCCACCTTGTAGATAAGATTTATCAATACACCTAGTCATAGAATTATCCATGCTTCTTGGCAGTACTAATCCGGAGTATGCCCTACTTCCTTGAACCCTCCCCCAAATCACCTAACACAAGCACCAATTCTATAATAAATCCTAACACCTTCTTCTTGAGCAGTCCCAGTTCCCCACAGTGTATGTTCTCTCTTGCTGCAATGAGTAATAACACTACAGGTGTGTTCCTGGTGGTCTTTGGCTTGAGGACCCTGACAATGGAGTAAGACTGTAGGACTGGTTCTGCTCTCAAAACCAGTTCCCCTTGAACCTCTGAGATCCCCCGCAGAGCCTTCATCAAAATTCCTTTTTGGTTGCTTGCCCCCAAAGATCCCTAAGTGAAACAAGCTCTTCTTTTGGGCCAGACATGGTGCTAGAAGAGAGGTACCCAAAGTGCCCAAGATAGCCGCAGGCCCTGCTTTCACTGAGTTCTCAGTGTGCTTGGGAAGGCAGGCCCTGAATCAAGACAAGGTCAATGAGTGCTACAAAGGGCAAGTACAGGGCCTTGTGGGTACATCCAGCAGGGGCATTTAGCCTGGTTTAGGTAATCAGGAGGCTCCACTGGAGGGATAGTGACTAGGAGTGAGCTAAGCCAGGACAGTGGAGCTAATCACACCCAGCAGAGGGTGATGGGTCCGGTTGGAGAGAATGGGGTGGGTTCGCGGTAAGCAAAAGAAGGTGGATGGGGCTGTAATATGGAAGAGGGGTGGGAGCATACTGGTGGAAAGGGGACTAGTAAACCATGGCAATTTAGAATTTTAAGCACCAAAAAACAAGAAAACCAGTTGCTGTAGAGTCAGTTCCAACTCTTCGCGGCCTCACGTGTGTCAGAGTAGAACTATGCTCCATGGGTTTTTCAATGGCTGATTTTTTGGAAGTAGATCACTAGGCCTTTCTTTCAAGGTGCCTCTGAGTGGGCTTGAATTGCCAACCTTCTGGTCAGCAGCTGAGCACATTAACCATTTAAGCATGTGGATACTAACCAAAAGGTAAGTGGTTTGAGTGCTCCCAGAAGCATCTCAGAAGAAAGGCATGGTAATCTACTTCCAAAAATCAGCCATTGAAAACCCTATGAGGCATAGTTCTACTCTGACACACATGGGATCACCATGTGTTGTAATCAGTTCAATGCCAACTGGTTTGGTTTTGATTTTCTGTGGTAATAGACAAATTTCTAAAACAAATTGATCCTGAACATATGTCATCATTTAACTTACTAGGCAAGGGAAATACCAAGGAACAAAATGATGGGCTGGTTCTGAGAGAACATGGAAGTTGAATTATTATGGAGTTGGGAAACTGTCTTAGTCATCTAGTGCTGCTGTAACAGAAATACCACAAGTGAATGGCTTTAACAAAAAGAAATTTATTTTCTCACAGTCTAGCAGGCTAGAAGTCCAAATTCAGGGTGTCAGCTCCGGGAGAAGGCTTTCTTTCTGTGGGCTCTGTTGGAAGGTCCTTGTCATCAATCTTCCCCTGGACTAGGAGCTCTCTGCACAGGAACCCCGGGTCCAAAGGACATGCTCTGCTCCTGGTACTGCTTTCTTAGCAGTATGAGGTCCCTCCCTCTCTGCTTGCTTCCCTTTCCTTTTATCTCTTATAGGATAAAAAAATGGTGCAGGCCACACCCCAGGGAAACTCCCTTTACATTGGCTCAGGGATGTGACCTTAGCAAGGGTGTTACAATCCCACCCTAATCCTCTTTAACATAAAATTACAATCACAAAATGGAGGACAACCACACAATACTGGGAATCACGGCCTAACCAAGTTGACATATATTTTGGGGGGACACAATTCAATCATTGACAGAAACAAAAATAACTAGGTACTTAGGTAAAGTGTACTATGTCATTATTTACGATTATGTCCATATCAGTTGTTACCAAGGAGATCTGGGATATGTGATGGTCCAAGAAGCCAGGTAGGTCAAATAACAATCAGAAGTTCTTGTAAAAAGACATCTAAGAAGCAAATGTTAACGATACATCTATGGCTGTAAATTAGAATGTTTCATTCCCCAAGAGTGGTGGCTGCTAGGTCCAGTTGACATGGAACCGTGAAACAGCATCCAACAGAGGTGAGGAGCAGGGTCCAAGTCACAAGTTCTACCCTTAAATAGGAGCTATCAGCGGGCATTTCTTAATTTGGAAACAATGTTTTTCTCTTTCACAGGTCATCTCAGATTTACATGAGGTGAAGTTTGATGGGGGACTCTTTAATGGAATAAATGTTTGGTCATGGAGCCAGCTCAAACCCTTCTGTTGCCCCATGCCCCAATACGTATCAAGCAGAGCAACCAGATATGGTGGAAGTAACCCAAAAACCCCAAGGTCCAGTTCCAGATCTACCACTACCTCACTCTGTGGCCATGGACAAGCAGCTTCTCCACCTTGTGCCTCAGTTTCCCCATCTGTAAAATGAAGGGTTTGTACTGCATGACTCCCAAGGGTCCTGCCAGGTGTCCACTTCTCGGTTTCCAAAGACATTAACTGGAACTAGCCCAAAATGTTCTAGTTTTGGCTGGAACCATATGGTAGAGATATGAGAAGGGCCAGAACCATGTGGTAGAGATATGAGAAAGGCCAGAAGGATCAGAGCGAACCTCTTGGATGTAGTGAGGCATGAGTTTAACCTAACATAATGGAGATTTGGAGCAGCAAAGAGAAAAGGGCAGGATGCTAGCCAGGAGAAAGTGGAGTCATAAGACATCTCCAAACTCAACCTGACAGAAACTCAACCCTCCAAACCTGGTCTTCCTCCTGAATTCCCTTCTCAATGGATTCCAACTCCACTCCCTACTAGAAACTTTCACAAGACATAACTTTAAATGAAGGGAAACATTTAGGATTACTTATTATTATGTCCATACACTTCCCTCACTGGTGTATTTAGAACGATGAACGATAATTTTGAAAGCACAAGAAAGAATATGCTAAAAAAAAAAAAAAAAAAAAAAAAAGTAAGCCAGCAATGGAGTGATGACACCATTGAATCGCTTTGTTTTCGTGCATTATTTTTTTAATGTTTAACTCACTGTTTCTTCCACTAAGCAGAATGATAATGCTAGTTGCCATGGAGTCAGCTCCCACGCATGGTGACCCCAAATACACAGAACGAAAGGTTGCCCGCTCCTGTGCCATTCCTATTATCGCAGCCATAGGGTTTTCATTGGCTAATTTTTACCAGTAGATCACCAGGCCTTTCTTCCTAGTCTGTCTTAATCTGGAAGCTCTGCTGAAATCTGTACACCATGGGTGATCCTGCTAGTATTTGAAATAGCAGTGGCATAGCTTTCAGCATCCTAGCAACAAGCAAGCCACTACAGTACCACAAACTGACAGGCGGTAGAGAATGATAACATCCGAAAGCGGCCCCTGAGCCAGTACTGAGGCCATTTCCGCGCCCACATCCCCTGACGAGGTGCGACGTTCGCCCCTCCACTGCGACGTTACTTCCGCTTCCTGCCTTGCGCGGCCATTTCTGCTCCTCCGTGCGACTTTTCGGCGGAGGCGAGCGCTCCTGCTCAGACTTTGGCCACGCTCTTCCAGGAGTGAGGAGATCGCGGAACCGCAGCCATGGTGAGTATGTACGCTGGGCCGGGAATCGAGAGACTCAGGTTCAGTTCACTCGCTAGCCTGTCGGGGGCCTAGAATGTGCGCCCCCTCATCCGCCCGGCCCAGGGTTGGAGCTCGGGCAGCCGCGGGTTCCCAACAGCCGGGCCCGGGCTTGGAACGTGCGCCATCTCATCCGCCCGGCCCAGGGTTAGAGTTCAGGTAGCCGCGGGGTCCCAACTGCCTGGCCCGGAGTTGCAACTCGGGAATCCTTGAGTGCCTAACCATTAGTCGGGGGCATAGCTAGGCCTGGGAGAAAGAGACCAGCCCAACGTGGGAGAGGGTAGAAAGCTTGACGGAAAAAACTGTTTTCACCCTTTTTCCTTGTTTTGCGATCCCTAAAGGATGGCGTGGAGCCCTGGGATTCTGTCAGATACCCCTTCCCATAGCTGGGGTTCCAGAGAGGGAGATCTTGGTTGCGCCTAGTGCCGACCGCGAGTTACACGTGCTAGGGAGTAAAGGAGCGTCTGGAGGTGAGGGGAACGTGCAGTGACACGGATCCCGGGCCTGGGGCGCAAGACCGAGGCGGCGGCTGAGAAGCGAGGCCCTGGTAGGACCACGTGCGGCTCCTGTAAACTCTTGGTAGTCTTCAACTTTTAATTAATCATCGAGGGAGAGTTGGCAATCGTGTATCCTGGTTGTTCTGGTTGGCACTTGGTAGGGAGGGAAGCTTTTGCAAAACACTTCCACAGTGAGGTTTAATCCGCTTAACTCGGCTCCGGAACCCGGCGAGACCACCCCGGATCTCCCGCTCCCTCCTCCCCAAGTTAAAAGCTAGTACTTGGCGGAGCTTAGAACTTGAAGCTTACAAACTGATGTTCATCGTGCTGTTTTACGGAGTTCCATGAAAAGTTTTGGAATCAGATGGTCTCAGGTCGAACTTTGCAGCAGTCTTCCTCAGCTGTGAAATGGTGGTAACAATGCTTGAGAATGTTGTGAGGATTAAATGAGATAGCTAGTGCATGTTAAACACCTACTCCTGATTCTTGGTATGTTTGTTAGATCAGAACCTTGCAGGTTTCGGCTGTCTGGTGTCCAGGGAGACCAAACTAACCAAGCTTAATAAAGTTAGGGGTATGATTTCATTCGTTCATGTAATTCTGCCGCTGGTTAACACATGAAAGAATTAAAAGGTGAATGAATACACTAAGCAAGCTTCACTTAGTATTTATAAGCTAGGCAGTTTGGTTTTAAAGTTGAGCCTAACTTTATTTTTGTAATTGAATTAATAGGAAAATGATAAGGCGACTCCTCTTCAGTGGTTGTTCAGGCTCCTGAAGCATATCCTCGTTTTTGCATTTGGTATTAATAGAGAATTGAGCACTCTGATTTCCAGAGATGGATTGTTGGAAGCCACAATAGAAATAACTGGTTTTTTTTTTTTTTTATTTATATATATATATATATATATATATATATACACACACATATATATATA